TGTTGTTCGCTGGTGCGTTGATTATCGGTCCGCTTTTCGGGATCAGCCCTCGCCTCATGCACTCAATGAGATCAGCGGAACGTGGACATGACAGCAATTTATTGGTTGGGGGGCTGCCCAGCTTGGGCGGGTGGTAGCTGTCCAGTGAAGTGCGAAGACTTCTCCTACCGTCGAGAGGAAGCCCCAGGTACCCGCTCCTACATCCATCTAGCGGGGGGTTTTCGATCGGTAAACTGCCTTTCACTGTTTTTTTGCTGCAGTGGCCTCTCCAGGGGCGGGGGTAGATAGAAGGAAGGAAGCCAGGAGGGGCTCAAGCAGCTGGNGTAGATAGAAGGAAGGAAGCCAGGAGGTGCTCAAGCAGCTGGCTTTGTGAAACTGAGCTTCATCTGGCCTCTACCCGTTGACCTTTCAAGCATGATTGAATCAACGGCTGTGAGAAACCATCCTGTATAGCTCGCAGCGTCATGAAAGCACACAAGAGATCACACCACCTCAAGGTGCAGTCTCGTGATGGTAACGTTTCCGTTACATATATTCCAAATTGTAAGCGGAACATGAACTATAGATTTTGACCTAGTTTGGAACCATCGGTTTTCTATGTTTGTCTGAGGTCATCAATAAGCGATTACACCACTTCTATCGTGTCTTCATTTCATATAATCTCTTGTCTCTTTCGTCTCCCTATCAGTATCCATATCTGATTCCATTCCGAGTCCATGATCCCACCTCGACCCAGAGAGCAAAAACTAGCGAAGAAGGGACACAAACCCATCCTCTCCCTGTGGTGGCTCACGATTGCAGTCCGCTCGGGGCCAGTCATCGTTTGCTGGACCTTACTCTGTGGCGCAATCAGGAACTGGAGCGTGAAATAGCCGAATTAAGACAAAGACTAACGGTTCAAGAAGCCGGTACCTCGAGCGGTGGTACATCGAACAGTCCGAATGGTTCATCATGACCTGATCCATGCACATAGCTTATTTTTTATCGAATGATATCTGTTACCCGATCCCTGTCCAAACCCGTGCCAAAAACACTCTTCCACTGTCCTTAATGTTGCCTTAATGTATACCCTTCAACTGTATAGAATCTAGTCCTCATCGGATTCTGTGATACACATATACATGATCTACTCTGAGCTCATCTCTTCATTTCTGAAAGAATTATATCGGAGTTACAGAAGCGATGTGTGTTTGTATGTAAGACTTCACTCGTTGGATTTGTCTTTTCTCATAAAGCACATACATTTTTTCTCGCTTTTGGTGATGACTCTCACGTGGTGGCATTCTTACTGATTTTTAGAAAACCGTGTTTGGAATGAGTGCATTTTTTTCAAACCGCACACACATCTTTCAGAATTATTTTTGAACCCACTGTGTTTCTGTTTTAGGCGTTCGGCTTTAGGAAATTTTTTCAAAACGAGTTTATAGAGCGGTCTTGTTTCGAGTTTTTGATTCGGTCTTTATCCATGTGTCAGACTTGAATCACTTCACCGTTGTTAGTGAATCTAGGCTTATGGACTGCTTATCTGTGTACCTTGGTGTATTGTTCACAGATTCGTTAATTCTGTCAAAGGTACTCGATCCCGAAAATCGTTATCGTTTACTTTCATAGCACTGAGCAACAGATCAAACAATAAATGTCTCAAGAAATAGAAGACACTGTTTCTCGCGATAGAACCTGAATAGAATCCCGGAAAGTCTTAGCTTGGTCGCCGATATGTCTTGGTTTGTGGCTGGTCAACCTTACTTTACACCTCCCAAACGCTTCTATACAACCAAGCCCCTCAACCAGCCTCTGCTGAGAAAGGCCCTTCTGGTTACTTTCATGTGGCTTTGTTCTGTCCGAAGAAAGTTAGAGAATGAATAGCCGATTTCGGGAGGTAAAGTCATACTTTTTTCTTGATCTAAGATTCTTTAGTAATGATCACATAAACTCCGTGCGTACAAATCAACATTATGGTACAGTGAAATACAGTAAGGTAAACTTCACTGGGGTTTGATAGACGCGTACTGCTAGGGTGTGCAGCCTCTAAGCAGGAGAACGATTAGGATTCTCAACCAAAGCCTTTAGTTCTGACAAGAACCCAGCCGCAAGGCAGCGGGTGAAATGAAGTGGAGGCCCATTTACTTAAATCAATTACTCCACCATTTTTACCGACTGAGACGCAAATTCTAGTCAAACACCCAACCTGTAGGACCAGGAGACTGGGCTTCGTTCGACCTTCCAGGCATGATTAGATCTTAGGCTTGACAAAAGCCACGCTGTGTAGCTCGTTGGGTCATAGAGGTGCACAAGACATCACACCACGTCAAGATGCAGTCCCGTCGTGATGGATGTGTACGAATGTAATATAACAACTCAGAGTTTGGTTTCCCTCTTCAAAATCTGTCTTACTTTAGAAACTAAGAAGCGTAGATTTTCCACGGGATGTGAGCACATAGTTTTGGTTATCTGTGATTCGCTTCGAACCCCAGACACAAAGCTAAGAATCTAACGAGTTTCGTTTCTCCGTTGGTAACATCGTTAGTCATATATGAGCTTAACTTTCTTGAATCTTCTGATTAGCATGCTACACAAAAATAAGAATAGCCGATTAGATTGCCTACCGTAAATTGGACACACCTCTTTCGATGTACCCGGGCGATCACATCGCAAACGCCTGTAAACGTGGAAGTGGGGCGTGATGTAGCCGAGGAATCGTTCTTCGTGGCAATGCTTAAATGACTGCAACCCAACCCGTTTCTGAAAATCGTTTGTATACTCAATAAAAGGAATAAAAAAGATCAGTATTATATTAGTTAATCTGAACACTGTTGATTAGTTATGAACACGTCAAATGGAACGGGGTTGAAAGTTGCACTGTAAATGGAAAAAGTTGAACGGAACTCTAAGTAACGGTTCGAATTATGTCACTGGCAACTGGTTTCAGTTATACAGTCGCACTTCTGCCTGGCCTAATACCACCCGGTTATTCCATCGAGGTAATATTTAGTTCACTGCTGCAATTCTCACGATCGATAGCATTCTTTTACATACTAAAGGGAAAGTTTTCGTGACCATGGAGTACAGTCAGCCTATTGTTCGTCAAACGATGCTGTGTGATCACCAGTTAGAATTAAGCATGTTCGTTATGTTGAAAAAGTAGGCTGAATGTATTCAGTAACATGAGATCAGTAGTTCTCTTTTACTACCGATTTGGTCTTAGTCCTAATGCATCCAAGTGTCCAGATTGCATCTTTAGTTTTTTTCCCGCTCTTCATTTCCAACGGGCTGTGCCACCCTAACTGTAACCCTGTGTCTGAAGTAACCTGGTTGTTATTATCAACAGTAATTTCCGGTGGTCCGCACACACCATTGTATTGGGAAACTGAGACACCTCTCCTTTTAGCTGCGCAGACTCGGAATATTCCGAACCCTACAGTCACTTTTGTCCTCTTTCGTTCCCTAATTCATTTTCCCTATTCTACTCCATTACTACACTGCAGTTTCCCGACCTTTTAAAACAAGACTTCAAAACCATTCACCGTACATTGGTGGTGATCAGTACTGGGTCCTCAATCTCATTTGATTTTTTAATCACAGAACTTATTAATGGTCACATCAACTCTGATGGTAATTTGCCAATATGATTCTGGCCAGTCCATGCTCACTGTGACCTGGTTATTCATTAGTTTCTTCACAGTATGTAATTGCGCTTGAATAGATTTTGGCATCAGCTCTTGAGTATAAAATAAAGATGTTCGGATCGAACGAAAGGTGTACCGAAAATCGACATGGACTGACCAATACACCAACTTCAATAATTTCGTCAGCGTCCATCAGAAACGTAACTTAGTGCAATGTTTGGCCACTAGGGCGAGGGAAGTCTGCCATGAGGATGTGTTGGATGATGAGAGAGGGCGAGAATGAACACCCAGATCGTTTCACTGAAAGGAATCTGGTTGGACACATCGAAAACTCCCATGCGAACAGTGGGAAAGATTCATTCATCAGTTTGTCATTCAAAGGCGATGCCGTGAGTGCGAATTCTGAACGGAGAAGTTATTAACGCTACCAAATTACGGTGCATGTTTCGAGCTGTTCCCTTGATCCATATTCAAAATGACAATGAACTGTCGATGCTGACCTCATCAGTGGTTTCATACTCTTTCAGATGCGTTTGTTTCGCGTCTTACGTTGGTCGAACTGCACGACGGCTATCTACCCAAATCAAAGAGCATTGCTGATGCTGGTTAAGACTGGGGCAGCCCTGATCAATAAACAGCTCCATCCTAGCCCACTTAGTGGACACCGTCGTCACTTTCGAAGTTGTTTATCGTGATCCCCACACCAAATGCAAGCCTGTTCGCCTGCGCACTTTAGCAACAGCGGGAGTGATCGGGATAATAAAATTGACCCCTGACCTTTGCACCAAAAAGCGTTTGGTTCCGTTACTCTAACTTCCATGGCCCGTGATCGATCAGGCCCGATTGTTTCCACCGTCAGACCGCTCTTAACTCTGGCGCTGCCTCGCTCTGAAGGGTGTGTCCAAGAAGTTTATTTCAATATTACGATCCCTTTATTCTAATAGTCGTAGTCGAGTTCGAGCTCACAGCACCGAATGATATGGTTGGGTGTCGTAAACAGTGGCGGCCGTGCATTTCAATTTCTTTGCAACATCCGCTGAAATTCCCAGTTTTCTCTTCGATTCCACTTTCAACCTTCCTGTATTTCTCCTACTGTTCATCCAAAAGCCTCAGTGTTATCGGGGTAGGTGTCTAGAGTTGCTGCTGGTTACCCCTCCCTTGCACCTTGCGAAATGCTCCCGCATTACCAATCGTCTCAAACAGCCTCTGCTGAGGAAGCCGTACTCACTGTCTTCTCTTGGCGGAGGTGTTTTTCACGAAAAGCCGACATCCGGGGCTATAATCGGGTTGGTGAACCATTGGCGATTCACCTAAGGGATTTGGCTAAAAACCCTGATTGCAAACCAACCAAGAAGAGGCGTACGAACCACACCCACACCTTTCCCGCAGTGGTCACCGGCTCATTCGGGCATCAAAGTATATTGGGCAGCTTGGACGTTTTCCCCCGTCCAAAGGGCGTGCGATCCGATAAACTGGACACAGGCCCCCAATGGATTGCGGTTTTGACACACCACCCCGCTGCCTTGCGGGTCAGGCTTTGACTAGCAAAAGCTTCGAGTGGGGACTCCGAGGTTCTCCCCCTTCCTCGACCATGGCAATCGGGAAGTAACATGCCAACACAACCTAAGACCACATTCTTCAGATTTCTTTCTGTTCATACGTTGTGTCACATTTGCCAGTTCTCTGTAATTGGTTACGTCTAATAAATAATAATAATACTGTTCATCCAAATGGGTGGCCGAAACCGGTGCACAAAAGTGCATGGTTAATGGTTGTTCGAACGGAACGGAACGGAACTGTTTCCGCCGTCCAATCACTCTGAGACAGTAACCTAGTTATACCAATAAAAAACACTTATTTAGTGACATTCTTCAAGTAGCATGTTACATGAAATTGTATATTTTATTCTGCAAAACGAGCAATGTGCATTTTCAATTGAAATAGAAGTATATAAGCTGATACAAGTTAGAAAATTTTAAATTGGGCATCGCACTTTAAACAGTGTCCGAAGGTTCTTCGAAGTCCCTTTTGATTTCCAACTATTTGGTTCATTGTTTCCTTGGGAAAATGGTCTCCCCCTTCCTTTATGAGCAAGTCAGACTTTTCTATTTATCCACTATTGCTGTTCACAGTCTGCACGTTTCTTCTACTTCAATTTCTGGGCTTCGACAATGATCTCGCTGCGTCCGGTTAAGGTTCGTGACGCTGGTTGCTTTGCATTAGTTTAAATACCGTGAGAATCGAGTCACATGGGCTGTTATACAGCCTTAACCACCTTGTTCGAGCCGATCAGATGCGGAGGGAATTGGTAACGGGTGGGATTGTGTCG